TTTTGGAACACAACTTGTTGGAAGTCTAATTTGACCAAAAAAAAAATCAGATGGCTTGTTAGATAGCTTTCTGTGAATTGAGAAATTAAGAACAAAGTCTTAATGAACAAAGTAATGAGGTGCTCGTTACCTTATCTTGTGTTAGAAGAAACAAAATAAGCAAGCAACAACTAATTCGGGGGTAAAGTGTGAATGTGAAGATGATGCTGCCAGGCTGTGACATCACTTTCATCCCAGAATCTCTTTTGAATTTTTAAAGCACTTAAAAGTGTAACAAAATGTGTAAAATGGAAGACACACCAACTATTTTTGAAAGGTCTAATAGTCAACAAATAATTGCTGGTAATACAGAAATAATATTTTTCATAACTTGTTAACATTTAGTCATCCATCTTCAATTTATACAAAATAAGCTGTCCACTTGAAGAGAAAAATCATTTTAAAACATCTATGGCATGATACATGTCACCACAACATTTTACATAATAAGAAATATTACCATTACTTTATGAGAAATTAATTGGACACCAAGAAAGAAAGACCTGACATGAAAGGAGTAAAGAATGTTAATAATTTGGTAAAAGAAAAGGGCTTAAAGTATTAAGTTCAAGCATCATAAGCTTTTTTTAGTGGAGAAGTAGAGGTAACAAAAATTGGTCTTCACCTGGTAAGTGTGTACTCCCTGAGTCCTGAATGCAAATTCATGGCAGAAAAAGTACCTATGCATCCACGCAATCTTTTGTCTCGACCAATCTTCCATGTTACAAACAGTGGGCTGTAATGGAACATAAAAATAGGGTAAATCAATCAATTCAACTCAAGCCATTATTTACTGAATACTTACCATATGCTAGGTTAGGTGCCTGAGATACAAAGACCAAAAGACAAGCTCTCAAGGGGCTCAGGGTCTAGCTCAGTAAAAGAGTATTTTTCACATTGTATTGAGTATCTCCTGTATTTTAGAGATCAAAATTAATGTTTTTAAAAAGGATTTGTTAGTCTTCATCAATAACTCTTAAAAACCGATGTTGGCTTTCTTATTTACAAATGGAACATAGTAAAACAGGTACTCAAATCTAAGTAATGTTGAATATACAGCCTCAACCATCACACATGACAGATGAATTCCTCAATTAGACCTAGGATTACCAATTGATTTGGAAGTCTAATTTAGAAAATTGGGAGGGGGAAAGAAGCAACTTCAATAAACACTTTTTTAAAAACACACTCTGAACGTGCCATGAAAGATGAAAGGCAGTCATTGCTCTATAGGAACTAGTGCACAGGGTATATGCTCACACCTAACACAAGGCCAAAGGAAGCAAGCACTACAAAACCACATTTAAATGACAACAAGTTCTGACAGACTGCCACAATGGCATACTGGTTCCCACAGGAACAATGTAGATAAACCAGGGAATGCTACTAAAAGTTACCTTCTTCCATGAACCAAATACCCAGTAGTATTGAAAAGGATGACTGAAGCACAGGGTCAAAGGTGGCAATCAGGTGCCATATCACCTATACTGAAGGTACTACAGTGAAAACCAAAAGTATAGTTCACATTTCCTGTGTTTTAGCTCCTATCTCCTAGATAGAATTTTTGATTCTAAGTGTCAATTTAGAATTTTTTTCTATAAATGCTCTTGATTAGCAGTTCATCAAAAGACAAGAATTAGAAGGGATTACAATATCACTAATTCTTTCATGACACAGAGAAATACTAGAATAAGATGTATGCATTGAATCTAAAGAAAAAATTTCACCTATTCATTTTTTAATTTCCAACTTGGGTAGTCCACATCAGGTACTACTTCTATGGGGAATAAGATCATCAATCCTCTCCCATCACAATTACTAGACAATATCTCTGCTTTGGCAGCTTCAGAATAAAGTGTGTCACCATATATATATATATATATATATATATATATATACCTTGATGACTTTTCAATATACAGACCTATACTTTATATTCTCATCCTCAGTGACTTGAATAAAAAAACCTAAAAAGTGGGAATTTGTTTCTTACCAAAACATTCAAAATGAAAGTAATTTAAAACTACCATAAGTTCATTCCTTTTACCTCACTAAAGTACATACACACATCATTCTTACAATAACATAACCACATCTTCTTGAGTAAATACCCAAAATATACAAGATAAACAGAAGTATACAAGCTAAACACTATATTGAACTATGAAATATACTGGAAGGCATTTCCCCACATCGTTGGGGAAAATGCATGTGGTTTATTATAATGCTATGCTCACTCTTCAGGGAATTTTTAATTTATGGTTGGGGGTGCTACAGAATTGTACTTTTACTAAGCAGCCCTGAAAGCCAAGGCATTTCATAACAACCAAGGGCATGGGGATATAAAAGTAAACAGTATATTAGCGAACAGGTATCTGACAGACTTCATAACATGCTGTGGTCTCTTCCAGATTTAACATTCTTTAAATGTTTGGCACTGTTGAGTATGTGTTGTAAAGAGGGCTCATAACAGTAAAACAGATGCAAAGTTATCTACATTTTTCCTATATCTTACCTACCTAGGCAACATCCACTTTAGGCGTTAAGATTGTAAGGAAGCATCTGTGAAGAATGGGAAGGAGTGCTACTGGACAACCCCACTATGTTTATGAGATGTCTGAATATGTAAGAAATCAGACTTTTAGTAGACTGAATAAAATTCTTCCTTAAAAGTTTGGGCTCTCATTTGTCATTTACAAATGCATGTCCAAAAATCTTTTATTTTTTTTAAAGTGTCCACAGACTTAAAAATAACTACAATGTCTAAAAGCATCATTTAATGGGAAAAGAATCCAGGAAGTTGAACATTTCAACATAGATTGATAGAAAGAAAAAAAAAAAACACTGAACACAAGAGATAGTACCATGCGTGTGATAATGACTTTGTACAGGGCAATGGCTGCAGGAACATTCAATACGTGTTATCTAAAAATAGTTAGAACATGTTTTCATTCAACAAGTAGGAAAGGAAAAGGCCATTTCATTCTTAATATGCTATTAAAATATGTATGAGTTCCCTAAAGTACATAAGCCATCAGTACAATCAGAATCATATCAAAGGAGAGTTTTGCACCTGTAGTGGGTAGCTATTCAATGACAAAGACATAAGGAAAATAGTTCATAGTAAGATAAAGATTGAATGTTTTTAGAAAATGCTTTTCGCCATATGGCATAAGGCCACCTACATACATTGAAAAAATACTACAATCTACAAAAGGCTCAAAATGAAATGAAATATTAATGGAAATATTTATCTAAGGGCAACCAGATGTAGTTTTTTAGGGAGTTATGCTACTTCTGAACATTTTGTACCAGTATGTTTTGAGAAACCTTTGGAGTAAGCCCCATTTTTCCAAGTCTCTACATAGAAACAGGAAGCAACCACTTAATCTAGGTGCATCCACTCTGCCAACTGGCAGTAAATACTGTCAGATCAACAGTGAGTCTTAGAGAAATGTATCCGCATGAAAGTAGCAATAGTAAAAGAAGCAATGTAACTCTGAACAGAATACTGCACAGTCCAAGTTCCATGCCACTTCCAATGCCCCTCTCCTGAGAATGATCTATCGATTTCAGCCAGAACAAATTAGAAATGTGTTTGTTGGAGTAGAGTACAATTAGGTGAGACAATAAAATAACATGTACTTACTTAATAACATTGTGCCTCAAGGCCTATCTCTACTTCCATACCAACATAAAATGATTAGCTACAAAAGCAGACCATGGCGAACTGTCACTCTGGCAATTTTCTCTTGTTTAGAATGAAATTTATAAGTAGCAGCATTACTGAAATAATATCAGTCCTACCAATATAATAATTAATTATAACATGGGTATTCAACAAGATTATTTAAGAACAGATGAAAAGGAAAAGAAAAAAGCCTTGCACTTTTGTTTCTTCTGTTATCAAATAATGATTGTCTGTCAATTGTACTTGGGATAAACAACAACATAGCTCAAATCCAACCTCATACCATGCAGTTAAACTCAACAACATAAGTCTCCGGAATCTAGGAAGCTAAAGAAAAACAGAAATGATGGTGTCTTCTTTCCATCACTAAGCTAAAACCTTTCTCTTCCTAGTTCGACAAAAAGAAGTTATATATTTCCTTTCCACGTCATATAAATTACAGGTTCAATACATAGAAAATATGATTAAATCTTCAATTAGTCAGCACAGTTTGTTATAACAAGTGTCACTGACTGGATGGCTTTAAGAAACTTTCTTATAGCTCTCAGGGCTACAAAGCCCAATATGAGGGTTATGGCAGTGCACAGTTCTTGGAAGCCCTCTTTCAGGCTTGAAAGGCTACTTTGTCCTCATCTATGAGCATGGTGGGGTGGCATCTCCAGAGCAGTAAGCACGGCTATCTTTTAAGTTATCACAGAATTGGAAAATTCATTGAATATTGCAGTTAACCATGTAGGTAAGCTGAAGTTCCAGTCTCCTGTTCTTACTCCTCTTCTCAGAAGTGAAGAGATTAGTTGAGGAGATGCCAGGATGAACTAGAAATGCCAGATGATCTAGAAAGACTAGTACTAGTTTACAAGATCTTACGCTGTTCTCATTAGAAGCCCACAGTAAAGTCTACCATTTCATCCTTGATGGCTTACCACACCCTTTCTAACCCCTTCTCATTTCATGTTTTCTTGTTATGTTGCCAGCCTTCCTGAAACCCAGGTTTTCTGCCTATTACCTACAACTTCCATCAATCATTATTCAGCTAGGTATAGGATCTGATTCTTGAATTAATTCATGCTATGGAATGAATAATCTTATGTTCAGATTATCTGAACTGCAAATTGGTCAGAAATGAGAAAAAGTAGGCTAAATTTGGGTAAGTGGGGAGAAGGTAAAGTTCAGATACATTTGACACTTTCTCATCCACACCAATCTTTTATTATAGATGATGGAAATACCCTAAACAATATACACAATCCTCCCACCAAACTTTGTATGCAGCCTGCATCTCATGGTACCCAGAAAACTAAGGTGATGGGAACAGATAACATGGATAGTACAGAAGATTACAAATCGAAAATTGGGAATCAGGAATTACCATCTTCTAATACATTTCTTTGTCTATTATGTTCAGAAATAAAATAATAACAGCATTATATGTTCTTTTTTATAATTCCAATTTAGTTGGTAAATGCCAGAGGAAGGGAGGTAGACTAAAGTCTAGCAGATGATTAGGAAGGCTGAATTTTTTTTTAAAGAAATCAAGGCTAATCATCACTGACATAAAACCACCCAAATCAAAAGCATACTTCAGGAGATTACAATGATTCTGCCAATTTTTGAGCTGAAGAAACCATTTCTTCCCTAGAGCAAGACTAAATCAACAGTTTTCAGCAAACTTCTTTAAAAAAATTCAGTTCAGGCTGATAGCCTAATTTTTTACTGAAGTCCAATTTACATGGAAATGATTACCAGGACTGGAAAAAATAACATAATATCTGCACATATTTTTCCTAATTTACACTGCATTGGGCACTGAATATATAGTAATATTTTGATGATAAGTTGTGGTTTCTTTCCTGATAATAGGAACATACCACAAAATTTTATTGCTTGAACATCTATTTTATAAATTTTAAGTGACAATTTGATATGGATTTCAAAAATGAAATAATTTTTATTTGTATTTCCTATTTTGAAGCCACTTTTTTCAAAGAGCTTTAAAACATGCAACTCAGCTTTGCTATGAAAAGAATTAATTATTTTAATATAAA